GCCGTCATCCTGCTCTGCCCTAACACCTTTTGTCTCTGTCCCGCACAGCAAAGCCGTGCAGAGCAAAGTCGACTCCATCCTGGTGAGTGCCTCCATGGCACATTGCGCTGAGGGTGAGGGAATGATGCGCCTCCACGTCTCTGTTCTAGCTAAACTGAACCCTGGGTTTGCCTGAGCCTGGTTCCCATCGGGTCGGGATCTGGCTGCTGGGATTAGCCCTGAGAGCCCCCGATCACCCTGCCTGGGGGGTGGCACCCGCTGCCCCAGCCCTGGGTGGGACAACCCTTTCCAGTTCCCTGGAGGGGCAGTGCCTGTGACTTTGGTTGCCCAGTTCCCTCACATGCAGCCATGTTCATGCTGACAGAGGTGCTCTGCTTTCAATGCCCCATCAGTTACTGCTGGTATCGGCTGTTCCTTGGTTTGGATCCTTAACCTTTCTTTGTCTCTGGTCCATTCTCCCTGTGGATCCTTTGGCTGTAGCAAGATGTCCAGAAGTTCTCAGACAACGACAAGCTCTATCTCTACCTCCAGCTGCCGACGGGACCAAGCCTGGGGGAGAAGAGGTGGGTGCTGGAGCGAGCCAGGGCTGTGGCCAGGAGGGCAGGGGCTGTCGGGATGATAGTGGGGGATAGAGACCACAAGAGGCTGGGGGGAGATTGCCACGGATCGGCCTCATGTCCTGCTTCTGCTGCTTCTCTGTTACTTAATGGTTTGTCCGGGGCTCCCACGGGAGCAGCAGCAGCCTGGACCTGAGCTCACTGAGCACAGCCGAGTACATGCACGCGTGCAACTGGATCCGGAATCACCTGGAGGAGCACACGGACACCTGCCTGCCCAAGCAGGATGTCTACGATGCCTACAAGTGAGCAGAGGGGTGAGAGAACCCCAGCAGGGAGGTCAGTTTGGAGGGCACCAAGTGCCTGGGGTTGTTTGGGAATGGCCTGGCCCAACCCTGGGTTCCTGAAATGAGCCACATGCGCGGGTGGAATCTGGTGCATCCAGAGGGCAGCAGAAGAGCCCGACGGCTTTAACCCACAGCTCTCCCCGACAGGCGATACTGCGATAACCTCTGCTGCCGCCCGCTGAGCGCTGCCAACTTCGGCAAGATCATCCGGGAGATCTTCCCAAAAATCAAAGCCCGGCGGCTGGGAGGCCGAGGACAGTCCAAATATCCTTCCACGTGCCTGGCTGGCCAGGGGAGCTGCTTGGACTGGTGGCGACAGGGCTGCTTCTCCAGCCTGTCCCCTTTTAAAGAGGTGGTATTTTGTAGCTTCTGAGAGGGTCTGGTTTTCGTTGGCTGATGGGGTTGCCCCATCCTTGCACCTTGCACTCGGGGCAGCCTGGGGGCAGCTGATGGTGAGCAGGGAGCACACCATGAAGGGGACATCTCAGCTTGGGTCCAGCTGCTCTCATGCCTCCAGGACAAGCCCGTTTTGAGCCCCGCAGCTGAAGCCTTTCGAGCTGTGACCCGTCGCCTGTTGCAGCCACGTTTGTGTGACAGCAAAAGACCTTAACCCTGCCAAACGTACTGCTACAGCGGGATCCGGAGGAAGACGATGGTCAGCCTGCCACCCCTGCCCAGCCTGGACCTCAAAGTGACAGAGACCGTAAGTCCTCCGCTGCCTCCATGGCTTGAGTTTTGCCAACCTCCTTTGGTGGGGTAATGAATCTCCTCGCTTGTTAGATCCCGGTGAAATGAAGGCAGGGCTGGAGGGATGTCCTCTCGTGGGAACAGGTTCTGCTCTGTCCCGTGAGCCCCCACAAAGGGAGCTCACAAGGACCTACCCGCCCGTGCAGGCTTGTGACCTGTGGGGGTGTCAGAATCGGGCCCTGTTCACGTCTGGGCATCCTGTGCTGTGCTGCGGGGGCTCATGGCTCGTCCCTCCCGCAGCAGTCGGAGCTGACGGATCTGGTGCAGTCCTACAACATCGAGGTGATGGAGGCAGCCTGCGCCCTGACCTGCGACTGGGCCGAGAAGATCCTCAAGCGCTCCTTCAACAACATCGTGGAGGTGGCCCAGTTCCTCATCCAGCAGCACATCATCAGCTCCCGCTCGGCCCATGCCGACCTGGTCATGGCCATGGTGGTCTCAGGTGTGTGGAATGGAGTCCTTGTCCCGCTCACCCCACATTGGGCTCGCTCACGGGGCACAGAGGGTTTGGGAGAT